CTCACCTTCTCCCAGCTCACCTAGATTCTATTTTCCTGAACAGGCCTCTCTAAAATATCCTGGCAATTTCTATGCCACTCTGATCTATACTCCCCACCATCCCCAGACACAAATCCCTATCAGTTTGGCCTTGTATACTGTGGAGACCCCATTTCTCTGCAAATGTAATAGCTTTAGCTGCTAGGAAGTTTTACCTAACCCCACGTAGCCCTCAGGCTCCGAGAGCTGAGAGCAGGATGGTGGTGAGGTCCTGACATTAAGTCCTACAATATATACTCATTGATACCTGAGCTCCTATGACTTGGAGAAGATGCAGAAAGGGGCCCCATGGAAGCAGCAGAGGCTAAGAAGGAACTGAGGGTAAGGGCAAAGATCTTCCACACATGAAACCATATGCTAAACTCCAACTCTAGAATTTTTATTCTTCTAGAAACATCATCTTTGTTAGTGGTAGTTGAGGGTGAATGTGTACGCTCAGTTCTGTCGAAGCAGACGTGAGTATTTATGCACGGCATCCACAAAGGCCCCCACGTGTTCTGGGTCCATATCAGGGTAGAGTCCATGGCCCAGGTTGGCAATATAACGATGTGGCCCAAAGTCGTCCAGCATCTTCTGCACCAGCCGTCCGATCTCCTCCTGGAGGACCAACAAGGCACTCACTACAGGGGGCCAGCAAGCCCCTGTACTCCCTATACATAATCATGACACACACTCATAGGCATGCTCCTACTCAGTGTTACTCATTCAGTCATTAATTCAGAACAGTTTACTTGATGCTTAGTACAGGCCAGACAACTATAAAGAGAAACTTTTGCTTTCCTCGAGCTCACATGGTGTATGTATAGAGAAACAAATATACAATAAAGACACAATAATACGACCATATCCACAACCATCACAACCATGGGAGTACACAAACTCACACATCAGGACCCTGGTTACCTCAGATGCATACAGAGCACAGGGGTCCAGGTTGCCCTGTAAGGTCACCATCTTCCCCACACGCTCCCTGAAAGCAGAGTCAGTGCCAAGTTCTGGTGACTGCACATAGGGCAACTGTACCCACTCCACCACACCCTCTATCACTCACCGGGCTTTCTCTGGGGCCACTGTCCAGTCAAGCCCAACCACCTCATAGCCAGCTTGGGCCAGCTCCTCCAGGGCAAAATGTCCATCTTTAGCAAAGATGATCTGAAGGAAAGGACAGAGTTCTGAAGCTACAAAGAGCCTTGCTATGCCCACTAACTTATCTTGGCTGCACCTCTGCTGCCCTCTAGTGGTCACTTCAGCCCATGCAGGACATACCCTGAAAGTTCCACAGGCCCACCTTCATTTCTTCACCCTCCATCCTTACCATAGGCACTGGTGCCAGGCCTGCCTCCTGCAGCCTGGCCTTCACTCGCTTGGCCACATCACGGACATAGGGCAGGGCAAACTTATTGAAGAGCTGTGGGCCAAGGTGCCCTGCATGGGACTCAAAGAGCTGCAACGCCTACAGTTGGGGAATAATAAAGAGAAATACATAACATACAAACACGAAGTATCTCAAGCCCCACACACACAAAGTGTCTCAATTTTCCCCTAGTGATTTTGGATCCTCATACTGCCTAAGCCTATAAATCCAATTCCATTCAAAAAGTTTTGCCATCACCAGATCCCAGTGCTAGCTTTGGTCTTTGAACACAGATAGCATTGCCAATGTCAATGACAAGGTGGACCTAGCTGTTTCAGTCAGATCGTTGCAAGCCAAGCTTCTTTCCTGCCTGGCATTATTAACACACCTACCCTCTCAAGTGTAGGGAACTCTGTTACTTCTCATCCTTCTAGAGTCCAGCCTATTTCTCTCCCTCAGGACCCACCTGGGCACCAGCAGCCACTTGTCCCACCAGATATGGGACCAGAGCATCAGTGAGGATTCGAAGCAGCTGGTGACTAGCCTGTGGTTTCTGGTAAAGCCAACGCTTGGCCTGAGCCATGGTGCTTGAGCTACCACCCTCAATCATGTATGTCATCAGAGTCCACTGCAAAAGAATACAAAGAGAATATCACAGGTGTAGAAGCCAGGCTGATACTTCCTTCCCTTGTCTACACCAGACCTGCCAGTGTTTTCCCCATGCCCAAGTCCCTGCCCTGTTCCACATTACCGGGGCACCAGCAAAGCCAATCAGTGGCACACGCCCAGCCAGCCGTTGTCGGGTGAGGGTGATGGCCTGGAACACATAGCCTAGTTCAGAGGCCACTGCTGCTGGATCCCGGAGGCGTTCTAAGTCCCGTTCTTCTCTTAATGGCTCTGGGAAGCTGGGCCCTTTGCCAGGCACCATAGTCACCTCCATACCTAGTGCCTGGAGGGAAAGAAAATATCTGGATTCCCAACCTGTAACTCTAGGAGGAAAGGCTCTGTTCAGCCCATGCCAAGAAGGAAAAAAAGGAGAATGAAATTTGGCCACACTCCATCTTTCAGCCCAAGGTCTTCCCTCTGTCCAGTGAGGATTAAGTGCTTATTTTGAGCCTTGACTATCTTTACCCTTTCTTACCCATCAGGTTTGAGCAGGTACCTGGGGTACAACAAGGATGTCGGAGAAGATGATGGCAGCATCCAGAGGGAAGCGACGAAGTGGCTGTAGGGAATAGAAGACAGGTTACTAGGAGGCAAGCTGAGGGCATATATCCCTCCCTTTTCTGTGGAGGCCTCACCTGCAAAGTCAATTCACAGCAGGCCTCTGGGGAGCGACAGGTGCTGAAAAAGTCCTGGGTAGCCCGAGTTTCCTTAAACTCTGCAAATGGAAGAGGAAATGCAGGGCTCGACCCTGAGGAACCTCTGGATCCCTCCCCTTCCCCTCAAAAACTTTTCACCCTCCAGAGTTTCACTTAGACTCCAGACCTGGTAAGTAGCGGCCTGCCTGCCGCATGCACCAAACTGGAGTGTAGTCTGTGTCTTCTCCCCAGGCTGCTCGCAGGAACGTGTCATTCTTCAGCTCTGGAAAACCCTGGGATCTGGAGATCAGGATGGGGGGAGGTGGTAGGTGTCAGTAAGCTAGGCCAGGGGTTGGGGAAGGCCCAGGTTCTTAAAGCGGATTCACTGCACCACACTATCTGCCTTCTCCAGGCCAGCTCCTAAGTGGGACTCCCCACCCATTCCGCCGCCTCCTTGCCTATCAGATAGTGCACAAGACTAGAAGGGCCCGCGCTGGGGCCTCTATCTCCCACACAGTCCCAACTTCCCCAAGCTCAAAGAGACTGGGGGAAGGGCAGAATGAAAGTCCAGTAAGGACTGATCGGGGTCTTTGGACCAGAAATGTCAGGAACGGGGGGTATCAATGGGCTAGCTCGGAAGCTGGTAGGTCCCCAAGCTGGGGTCAGTGAATGAGGAATCAGAATAGACGGTCCCAAAATACGGATCCTAACTGAGGATTAGAAAGGCCTAGCGACAAACCCTCAGTAAAAGTCTCGGGAATCCATGGGTGGAGGACTCGGGATTCCAGAGACTGGAGTCAGATTGGGAGCTCTCCAGGCTGGGAAAGGGGTATAGGGACATATTCCTGAGTTGGAAGACTGGTCATCCAGCGTGGTGGTGCAGAGAACTCACCCCAACCCGTTCGTCTCCATGATAAGCCTTCGGTAACTGCGACCGCAGTCCTCGCTGTAACCTCAACTGGAGCAGAGTCGGAGATTAGGCTCCACCCCTTCCTGCAATGAGCCAAGGCCGCCGCCATGTTGAAAGTCACATGATCAGATTCCGGCGAACGCTCCTGGGCTGCCCCAGCTGCTGCCCGGAGGACCCGCACTACCTCCCTGCACCGTAAAGACCGCTGTAGCGTCGCAGCAACACCCCCACCCCCGGCCAAGAACTCCGCTGTAACTACGCCTTTCGGTCTCATCAGGACCTTCCTCTCCTTTGATGGCTTGGAAATCCCGAAGTTTCGGCCTAACAATCACTTTTACTCCCATGCCTCATGATTCTAATAGCCTTATGCCTAGCAACCAGACACACAGTGGATTAAGGAACCAAGCTGCACAGGGAAATGAAACATCAAATACTTATATTACTGGGGCACCTGGGTGGCTCAGTTAAGTGTGGGACTTGTGATTTCTGCTCAGGTCATGATCTAACGGGTGGTGTAATCCCCCCCTCCCCTCAGTGGGGCTCCACACTCCTCCTGAAGTCTGCTCTGCCCTCCCCCCACTCATGTGTCCGAAATCCAGGCAACTCTCTCTTTAGAATAAATAAATCTTTAAAAATGTATATTTATATTACCTACTAAGGCTAGCACTATAGTTGGTGCAGAAGTTACAATGATGACCAAGACAGCCCTTTCCTTTAAGGAGCTACAGACTAGTGGATCAGCAATCATAAAAGTAAACGTTTTAAGAGTAAAAAGCTAGACAGCTAGCAAGGGCTCCTCCCTTAACTGGAGGGAAAGCGGTGGAGGTGTTCCAAGCAGAGGGAATAGCACGTGCAAAGAGAAGATGCAAAAGAACAAATGGCTATTATGGAAACCAGAAAAATCAACCTAGTGGAATTAAAGAGGCTCTAGATGTCTTCAGGGTCCAGGTCCTGGGGGCCCTCGTTAGAGTAATGTGTCCACTTTATTCCGTAGTAGCATGGTAGCATACAAATAGCTCAGAGAGAAGAGAAGAGGGGCACTATGTTCCCAACTTACTAGGAAGAAAAGAAAAAGGGGGAAACTGTCAAAATGATATGAAATCATATATTATTTTTCTTGGTAACTTTGATTATTTGAAAACTATATCAAAACAAAGTTTCCATCCAAGTGTCCATCAACAGATGAATGGGGTATAGAAAAAAGGGATTATTAGTCAACCCATAAAAAGGAATTAAGTTCAATTCTTGCTATCATATTGTTGTGATACTATTGTAAGTGAAATAAGACAGACCCTAAAAGACAAATATTATATGGGTCCATTTATGAAATATCTAGAGTAGGCTAATTCATAGAGGCAGAAAGTAGACTGGAGTTTACCATGGCAGCCATTTTTTTATTTATTGCATTTCTTTATTGCTTAAAGAGAAAGCCTTTCTTTTTGGAGTGATGAAAAAGTCTTGGAAATAGGTAATTGTACTCTTAAAATGGTTAACATGGCAAAAATCTTGTTACATTTATTTTATCACAATTTTAAAAAACTAATATATCAAAAACCATTGAATTGTACACTTCAAATGAGTGACTTATATGGAGTATGAATTATATCCCAATAAAACATTTTTAAAACTGTTTGCAGGGGAGACAAAGTTTCCTTTTCCCCCATGATTATACTTCATCAACAGCTCCTGTCCATGTTTTTGCCTCCATCCTATCTAGCCACCTTGAACCTATCTTCCCACATCAGACCTTTCCTGTCATCTGGTTCAGAATTACTGAGAGAAATTGGAACATGATCACCAGTGCCCTAGAATTAGGAGCAGCCACCGGGATGAAGCCCGAACCACTCAAGACTCCCCGAGGAGGGGATTATTCTCCCAAACATTTTAGCAGCACTATCCCTAGGATGAGGAGGAGCCTGAGAGGATGTCTAGCACTCGCGGTGGGAAGGCAAAAAAACAAGAGGGCAGAGAGCCAGAAAAATGGCTGTTGCAATGATCCAGGCTAGATAGGATGGTGGTTCGATGAGGGCAAAAAATGGCAGCAGCAATGAGGATAGACAGGGAGAGACCGATCAGCCAGAGACTACTGGACTTGTGTTTGGTTGGCTGAGTACGAGGCACATCGGTTTGTGACACATTAACGTATCCGAGTACACAGGGTAATACGGCGAGCACGCGGGGTGCCTTTAGTCCAGGACTTACGGCGCGGGCGGGGCAGGCGGTGGGAAGCTCGGTCGGCCTCGGCGGCGGCGGCTCCCGGAGCCGGACGGCCGCCGCGGGGCTCTGCTCTGCGGCTTCGCCATGGCTGGTCCCGGCCCGGGCGCGGCTCTCGAGTGCCCGCGGCAGCTGCTGGGCCGCGTGCGCTTCCTGGCAGAGGCGGCGCAGAGCCTCCGCGCCGGACGGCCGCTGCCGGCGGCGCTCGCCTTCGTGCCACGCGAGGTGCTCTACAAGCTCTACAAGGACCCGGCGGGGCCGTCGCGCGTGCTGCTGCCGGTGTGGGAGGCGGAGGGCCCGGGGCTGCGTGTGGGAGCCTCGGGCCCGGCCCCCGGAACCGGCTCCGGGCCGCTCCGCGCCGCCCGCGACAGCATTGAGCTCCGGCGCGGCGCCTGCGTGCGTACTACCGGCGAGGAGCTGTGCAACGGCCACGGGCTGTGGGTGAAGCTGACCAAGGTACTGCCCGCGCCGGGGGCGCCCTACACGGCTCCCCTCCCATCCCCCGCACGGCGCTCGCGCGGTTCCGCGTCCTTTGCCTGGGGCTGGGCAGGGCAGGGCGGGCCGGCCGCTGGGCAGGGCCCCGACGGCTGTCCCCAGCGGGCGCGTCTCGGCAGGAGCAGCTGGCGGAACACCTGGGCGACTGCGGGCTGAACGAGGGCTGGCTGCTGGTGTGCCGCCCGGCGGAGGGCGGGGCCCGCCTCGTACCCATCGACACCCCAGACCACCTCCAGCGGCAGCAGCAGCTCTTCGGCGTGGACTACCGACCGGTGCTCAGGTCCTGCACTGGAAAGGCCGAGGCTGGCTGCTCGGCGGCACGGCCCGGAAGGGTCGGAAACTAGCCTGGCACTGGCTGGGAGCTGGGATGAGGAGCGAGGGCAGGGTTGGGAGAGGAAGGGGCGGGACCTGAATGGGCCTGGGGTGGAGCTTCTGGAGGCACGGTTCGGGGAGAGTCAACGCTGGGGACAGCTCTCCGGGGGTGTCCTGTTGCCCTCCGAGGCCTCCTGGTCCCATCCCCTACTCTGTGCCGGCAGATGGGAACAGGTGGTGGACCTGACATACTCTCACCGCCTTGGATCAAGGCCCCGGCCAGCCGAGGCGTACACGGAAGCTGTACAAAGATTACTGTGAGTGAGCTGGAGTGGGATAGGGAGGAAGAACCTCCGGGTCCGGGCCTGACCTAATTAGGGACTTGGGGTTGCTTAGCTATGTGCCCCCGACGTGGACCTACGAGTGCGACGAGGACCTGATCCACTTCTTGTACGACCACCTGGGCAAGGAGGATGAGAACCTGGGTAGCGTGAAGCAGTATGTGGAGAGCATAGACGTTTCCTCCTACACGGTGGGTTCTGGGACTCCTCCCACCCCAAGCAAGATGTCGCTTCTTGCTAGATCCAGAACCCTCACCTTTAGGCCAGGGCCAAAACCCCACATGCCAGACTCAGTCGAGCACCCCATTCTGGAAGTCCTATAGGAATCCCTAGAAACTTCCACTCGTACCAGCTGCACTTTCAACCCAGCTCCATGTGTTTTCTCTCTTTTGCTCCCTGGCCCAAAGCACACTCTACAGTGCAGGGAGTGGGATAAACACTGACTCCACCTCTCTTACCCTCCCTAGGAGGAGTTCAACGTGTCGTGCCTGACAGACAGCAACGCAGACACCTACTGGGAAAGTGATGGGTCCCAGTGCCAGCACTGGGTACGGCTTACCATGAAAAAGGGCACCATTGTCAAGTGAGTGGGCTCTGAGGTAGGACGGAGTGGGCAGGCCTCATGCCTGTAAGTGTACAGAGGCCCATGTGCATACTCTGACCACCCAGGAAGCTGCTACTCACAGTGGATACCACAGATGACAACTTTATGCCTAAGCGGGTGGTGATCTATGGGGGCGAAGGGGACAACCTGAAGAAGCTGAGTGACGTGAGCATTGATGAGTGAGTGAGCAAGCTGGTCTGGGAGGGGAGATGGGGCATGATCCTAGCAATGGGGCCTGGCCCCACTTGGAAGCCCCACTTGGAAGGTCAGATGAGAGCCTAGCAATGCATGAAGGCAAAGGGTACTCAAGGTGCCTCACATCCATCTTCTCAGGACCCTGATCGGAGATGTTTGTGTCCTGGAGGACATGACCATTCACCTCCCAGTCATCGAGATCCGCATTGTCGAGTGCCGAGGTAGGGCTTCGGGCTATAAGGAGGGAATGGAGCCTCAGTGTATAGACTTTGGCTAGCTGGCAGTGAGTGTGGAGAAGAAATGGGCTTGGAGTTGGGATGAAGGTGACAGCTGAACTAACTCCAGGAGTTGAAGCTTTAGGCCTGAGCCAAGTGGGAGGCGCCAGGTATAGGCCTGCCTTAAAGCCATAGAGGTGGTTGGGCTCATCTAGAAAAGGAACTGAGTTGGGATCCTCAGGCCTTCCAATATGATAGCGATGGATGGAGGAACCAGCAAAGAATATGATAATCAGAGTAAGATGAGTAGAAGGGGATCTCAAAGGCCCCAAGTTTCTAGGGGCTAAAGTCTGAGCATTAAGGAGCCATTCTCAGGTCTGAGGGTCAAGGAGGCAGCAGGTGTCCTAAGTAACTTCATCCTGACTCCCTCCCCCAGATGATGGGATTGACGTGCGTCTTCGAGGGATCAAGATCAAGTCATCCAGACAGCGGGAACTAGGGTTAAATGCAGATCTGTTCCAGCCGACCAGTCTGGTGCGATATCCCCGTCTGGAAGGCACTGACCCTGAAGTGCTGTACCGCAGAGCTGTTCTCCTGCAGAGGTGGCTGTGGTCCTGGGCCTGCCAGGCCCTTCTTTTCCCCCAATCCTGAATCTTATTTGTTGGTATGAAGGAGGTCTCCAAGGCCCTATACTGTGAGCTGTTCCACTTTAAGGGTCAGAGCATCCCCAGGGCCCTGCCTCCTCCTGTCCTTGTGTGTTGGGGAGTGAAGGGATCTTAAATCCATACCACCCTCTTTAGTTGCATTATCTTTACCCATTCATCCCAGATTCATAAAGATCCTAGACAGTGTCCTGCACCACCTGGTACCTGCCTGGGACCACACACTGGGCACCTTCAGTGCGATTAAGGTAAGCCTAGCCCACCTGGTATTGGTGTCAGCAGTGGGCTCCTCCTTTCTGCTCATGCAAGTGTTCTCTCTTCTACAAAGTTCTTAAAATCTACCTTAGGCCTGGGCCTTTGTTGGGCTCTAGGAATGTAGGAAGAAAGCTGGACACAAATAGCTAAAGCTTAGTGTTGGGATGCCATTCTCCCAGCCAGTATGTGAAATACAAAGAGCTGGGAGGTGAGAAGTAACAACATAGACAGGGGAGGTTGCATGAAAGCTGCATACTGGAAGTTGTGAGCCACTAGAGGTGACTTGAGAGAAGCACACAGGTAGATGTGAGTATGACTTGGGGATGAGGCTGGGAGTGGTAGGCAAATAATAGGCCCTGATAGCAGAGGGCACTATGGGCCAGGCTGTGAAGGAGGAACTATGTTCTAGGTCAGAGGAGCCATTGGAAGGCTTTTAAGTAGGTAATGACAGTATGATTTTTTTGTTTTAGAAAGCTCCCCCTGGTGGCTGGACTAAGGGAGGGATGGAAACAAGGAAGGGGGAGGGTGGTAGGGGGATGGAGTAAGATGGACTGGAATCATGGAATTGGGTCCAGGCATAGAGGAAGTTTCCAGAGTCTGGACAGACACTAACTGCCTGCCAGTCTTTCTCTGGCCACCTTTCCTCACCAGCAAGTGAAGCAGTTCCTGCTGCTGTCACGCCAAAGGCCAGGCCTGGTGGCCCAGTGCCTACGTGACTCAGAAAGCAGCAAGCCCAGTTTCATGCCACGCCTGTACATCAACCGGCGCCTCGCTATGGAGCATCGTGCGTGCCCCTTAAGGGACCCTGCCTGCAAGAATGCAGTCTTCACCCAGGTCTGGACCACCTGGGGTCAGACTAAGGGAGGGTCACTAAAGGGTCTAGGGGCTGGGCCATGAGGAACCTAAGTAAGGTCTTTGGGCCAGAGTGAAGCAAGATCTTGACACAGACTTTCCTACAACTCCCTTCCCTTTGCCCTGCCCCCAGGTTTATGAAGGCCTCAAGCCCTCTGACAAGTATGAAAAGCCCTTGGACTATAGGTATGACATGCGGGTGAGGGACTTGAACTGGGCCCGCATAAACTATATATATGCCTGCACACCGCGTCTGTAACCCCTCCCCATTACCCCTCTCTAGCCCCTACTCCTGGCTGGTGTCTGAGCTGGAGAAATGTCCTAAACCCTGACCCAGCCTGGTGACAAAGACCCACACTTCTTACAGGTGGCCAATGCGCTATGACCAGTGGTGGGAGTGTAAATTCATTGCAGAAGGCATCATTGACCAAGGTAAAGCCCTGAGGAAGGATAACGAGGGTCCTGCCCTATTTAGAGTGATAGAGGCTTCCTGGGTCACAGCTAACCAAGGTGGAGGACCGTTTTAAGGGTTCTGGGGCTCTTGAACACCCCAGCTGAGAGCATCTATCTGTCATTTCAGGGGGTGGTTTTCGGGATAGCCTGGCAGACATGTCAGAAGAGCTGTGCCCTAGCTCAGCGGACACCCCTGTGCCTCTGCCCTTCTTTGTGCGCACAGCTAACCAGGTAACCTTCCTATCCCTACTTCTCAAGTGGTTTCTGTTTTCGTCTCTGCAAACCTCTCAGGTGCTGAACTAGGCGGGGGGAGGGGAGGCAGAGGAGGGACCAAGTTGCCTGGGGCAGCCTTTGGGCAGACAAGGAAAGAGGAGCCATTGTACAGATTGGACAGAGGGATCATTCAGGGCATCCAGTGGAAGGTGTGCAGGCAAGCCTTTGGAGCGTGTGGGGCAACAAAGTAGGGTCCATTCCACGCCATGCTGTCAGCTCTGTCTTGGGGGCAGGGCAATGGCACTGGTGAGGCCCGGGACATGTATGTGCCCAACCCCTCCTGCCGAGACTTTGCCAAATATGAGTGGATTGGACAGCTGATGGGAGCTGCCCTTCGGGGTAAGGAATTCCTGGTGAGTAGTCTAATCTGCACCTCCCTCCCACCAGCCTGGCCCCTGGAAAGAAAAAGGGCCAGCTAAACCTGGGCAGCCCCAGATGAGAATACAGTAGTATTTGTCCCATAGGTGCTGGCTCTGCCTGGTTTCGTGTGGAAGCAGCTCTCTGGTGAGGAGGTGAGCTGGAGCAAAGACTTCCCGGCCGTGGACTCTGTGCTGGTAAGTAGGGCTGTTTCCTCTGCACAGTCCCTGAAGGTTGCTGCTCCCCAAGGGTATCCTGAACCTTCTCTAACCTCACACATGCTCCTTGGCCAATTCCTTCTATTCCCACGGCTTCAACTACTATCTTTATTCCCCAAATCCTTACCTCCAACTCCAGCCTCTTTCCTAAGCCTGGACCCATATATGCATCTGCCCGCTGGACATCTGCCCCAAGATGAGCCTCAGGCTCAGCACACTCTTTATCACCCACCTATTCTACTGCCCTCAGGGCTCCTGTCTCAGAATGGCACCACTATCCACCTGCCCCATGCCAAGGCCCTCAGTGTCATCCTCCAGTCCTCCTCCATCCTCACCTCCTACTCCCTGTCACATCTCCCTCTGGAATCTGTCCATTTCTTCCATCTGACTACTGTCCTCCTGGTGCAGGCCACCTTCCTTTCTGAGACAACCACTGACTGCAAAGCTAGTGTTCCTATCTCCATTCTTACCATTCTTACTCATCTGATCGCCAGCAGCCAGAGCACTTCATTCCCTTCCCCACCTTGTTTAAACCCTTTAGTGGCTCTGCCCTGGACTTAGGGTAAAATGCAGAACCTGGTAAGCCTTATATGACCTCTGTATCTCTGGTCACTGGGTTCACATTCAGGCTCCAGCCAAACAGATTCCAGGCTTTTTGCTCTTTTTACCTTTTTTCTCTCTCTTTTTTTTTTTTTAAGATTTTTTAATTTATTTATTCATGAGAGACACAATGAGAGAGAGAGAGAGGCAGAGACACAGGCAGAAGGAGAAGCAGGCTCCATGCAGGGAGCCCGACATGGGACTCAATCCCAGGTCTCCAGTCGATCCCAGGTCTCCAGGATCACACCCTGAGCTGAAGGTGGCGCTAAACCGCTAAGCCACCCGGGCTGCCCTCTTTTTACCTTTTTTCAAGGTGTTCTATCTCTCGGTGTGGCCCAGCAAACTCCCAGCTGTCATTTAGGTCTCAGCTTAGATGCCGTTTCTTCCAGGACACCTTCCCTGGCAGCCTAGGCTGGCAAAGTGTTGTCTTGATGCTTTCGTAGCCCTCGGACACCCTCTCTGCCTTCATTGCCTGCATGGAGACTGCCTTGTTTAGCTGCCTCTCCTTCCCTGTGAACATCTTGAGAGATAACAAGGACTGTCTCCACAATGAAACGCTGACCTCCTTGCCTCTCTCCAACCCCCAGGTGAAGCTCTTGGAAGTGATGGAAGGAATGGACAAGGAGACATTTGAGTTCAAATTTGGGAAGGAGCTGACATTCACCACCGTACTAAGTGACCAGCAAGTAGTAGAGTTGATCCCTGGGGGTGCAGGCATCGTGGTGGGATATGAGGACCGTTCTCGTTTCATCCAACTGGTGCAGAAGACACGGCTAGAAGAGAGCAAGGAGCAGGTACTACTCAAAGGCCAGGAGGACAGAGAGCCTTGCACAGTTGCTAGTAGGCAGAGCCCAGCCTGATAAGCTACCAGTAGCCAATCCCAAGAACTCTGGTCCCACCATTCCTCTGCCTTACGTTCCTGCCTATCTGTGGGGTCAGAGATTGGCCCCCAGTGCTGAGCACAGATCGTGTCCCACATTATCTCTACGAGCGGAGGCCAAGTACCCCCGCCACACACTGACTTGGGAGTTGTACCCTCTTCCCTATCCAGGCCTTCTCCCCTCTCCCCAGGTGGCAGCCATGCAGGCAGGTCTGCTAAAGGTGGTGCCACAGGCTGTGCTGGACTTGCTGACCTGGCAGGAATTGGAGAAGAAAGTGTGTGGAGACCCAGAGGTCACTGTGGATGCTCTGCGCAAGCTCAGTGAGTGTGGGGCAGAGTAGCACAGGGATGGGGGCTTGAGGACTAGTAGGTTGGGACCTGAGAACAAATTCTGACCTTCTCGCCAGCCCGGTTTGAGGACTTCGAGCCATCTGACACTCGGGTGCAGTACTTCTGGGAAGCACTGAATAACTTCACCAACGGTCAGTGGAAGAGGAGAGAGTGATGCCTGGGTTCATATCCATTTGTGGGGTACAGAGGCAGGGTAGAAATTGTACAAATCCCCCCCCCCCATCACCATTAGTGTGGCCACAGATTTCCTTCTCCATCCAGAGGATCGGAGCCGCTTCCTGCGCTTCGTCACTGGCCGCAGCCGTCTGCCTGCACGGATCTACATCTATCCCGACAAACTGGGGTGAGTATGGAGGGAATGGGGTACGGGTTGGTTGCCAAAAGGACTGACTGGCCTTTGCCTTCACCCACACGCTTACTCGTCAGACCCTACAAACCCTACCCTGCATCCCTACAATTCTTCCTAATCTGTGGCCCCCCCACACCCCCAGCTACGAAACCACAGATGCGCTGCCTGAGTCTTCCACTTGTTCCAGCACACTCTTCCTACCACACTATGCCAGGTGGGTTTCCTAGGCTCGAGCCTAGAGAGTGAGGAGTGGGGGAAGGAGTGGCCTCCCAGAATGGAGGAGGACTTCCAGTCCTGAAGTGCACAAACTGGAGCCCCATCACCCATCGCCCCGCGAGCCCTGGAGCCCTGGCCTCGTAGTGATGGAAGACCTTCGCACCTGGCGCTGACCCAGTCCCTGTCTCCCTCAGTGCCAAGCTGTGCGAGGAGAAGCTCCGCTATGCGGCATACAACTGTGTGGCCATCGACACCGACATGAGCCCTTGGGAAGAGTGATGCGGCGCCAGGGGGCAGCCTCGGCCTGCGGGACTGTGCCTGCACGGGTCCCACTAGGTGGCGCTCAGGGTGAAGACTCATTACCTGGACCAGCTGGGGTGTGTGCTCCTGACCTGAGCGGACCCACTCAGGAAGACGGCACGCCCCTGCGTCTGGTTGGAGTGGGGGCCGTTGGTTGACCCTGATGACCCAGCCCCACAGACCCACAAGAGCCCTGTGCGTGCTCGGGCTTGCTTTCTAAGTTATTTAGCCTCTGTGAGAGGGAATCTTCCATAAGCCCAGCACAAGCTGCCAGGACTGAGCTACTTGAAGGGGGCCTTCTAGCTCCCCATCCCATGGATTTTACTTAAGGGTTTTTTTTGGCTCCTCCTCCTTTCTCCTTGTTTTTCTTGGCTTCAGCCTGGACTCAAAGCTAAAACCTCTGTAGGGTGGTGGAGGCTCCTCCCCAAACAAGGCATCAGGGATAGAGCATAATGGCCATCCTCTTTGGTCACCTGCCCCAAGAAAGAAGCAGCGCTGAGCACCTTCTCCCTCACATACTTATTTTCTCCTCCCCTCCCCCCATACCCAAAGTGTGAGCTCTGTTCTTCTTCCAACTCAGTCTTAACTGATAAAGTGCCACCATCTTCCCTGGCTCAGAACCTACAGAACCTACATCTACTCAACATTAAATCTTTAATAACACCACCATCACACCATATTCAACCCTTAGCATCACCTCCAGGCTGATTCCCCATCTGCCATGTCATCCCCAAGATGGTGCAAGGTTAAGGCCAGTTAACATCCTTTCTGAAATCTTCAGTGGTTCTCTTTCAGCAAACTGAAAGCCTAGACTTTAAACCTGCTTCTAACTCTTAGGCAGGTCCTTGCCCCAGTCCTCCCTCCCGTAAGGGCCTCTGTGACACTCCATCAAAGTTCTTGCACATGGGAAAGTGTAATAAATGGATGCATTCATTCCTTCAGACTGCTTATTGGGCTACTGAGGGATGGCAGAGAAGGTTCTTCTAGGACTTCAGAGCCCTTGGCTGGAAGCCAAGGAGATTGTGTGTCGTGGGAGTGGTGGGTCTTCACAGTGACAAACATTAAATCTGAAGTCAAGCAGGGAACTAAAGATGCTGGAGGGGAGTGGTGCTCGGAGCCTGGCCTGGCACCTTCTGGGATGGGTGTGGTGATTTGGAGGATGGGAGCCCACCTTCAGGAACCAGGTGGGCAGAAGAACTTGACATCGTAAAAGACAAATCCTTGAGATGGTTGATAAACCACCTAGGTCAAACTTGACAACCAAGGCAGCAGCATAGCTACCCATCCACCCGACTCTGCCCCCAGTTCTCACACAGCTAAGAAGCTGTCTTTAAGAACAAGTACCCAGTGAGAGATCTATGCATATAGACCATCCTCCCTCCCCCAGTGGAAGGAGTCAACGTCAAGCACAGTCTCCAACGAAGTGGCCTGTCTCCCATCGCTTCTCCCTACTGCCCTTTAGGGTGAATCCTGACTCTACTCTGGCTGGGAAATGCCAGGCCTTGGCCATGAGCTCTGCCCCCTGGGGCTGTGCAACCCAAGGCCTATCTCCCAGTAACTCTGAGTCTGACCACCCCCCCCCCCCAGCTGAGCCTCCTGGGCAGCCCTCATCTTTTGGCTCTCCAATACCTGTGCCTTGGGTGGTCCATGGGAAACACACCTCCCTCTTCCAGCAGCCTCTTGCCCAGGGAGCTGGAAGGGGAGTAGCCCCAGAGGCCACCACTTCCATCAGCTCTGTTCTTCCCAGCAAGCTCCTGCCCTCTTGTAAAGCCTGCTCCCTCCGAGGAAAGCATTCCCCCCACCCCGTTTTTTTTTTAATTTTAAGATTTTATTTATTCATGAGAGACAGAGAGAGAGGCAGAGACACAGGCAGAGGGAGAAGCAGAGGGAGAAACAGGCTCCATGCAGGGAGCCTGACATGGGACTTGATCCCGGGTCTTCAGGATCAGGCCCTGGGCTGAAGGCAGCGCTAAACCGCTGAGCCACCCGGGCTGCCCAGCATTACCCCTCTGTTCTCGGGGAAGAGCCTGGCCAGCATGCACCTGCTGGAAGTAGTGTTTCTGTATCTGGTACTAACCACTTAAGTCTGGTCCCTTTTTTACCAAACTGGGCTCACACTGTATATTTTGTAGCTCGCTTTTCATGCATTCATTCAGTAAATGCATCAAACAGGTATGCCAGGCACTATTCTGGGTATAATGGGGAAAATATTAGCTAAGCAGATTATTTTATTTGGAATTTATAATTGGAGAGAAACAGTATATTAAATGATTACATAAACAACATTTAATAACATTTATGTAAGGGCTCCAAAAAAGTAGTGAAGGATAATTGTTAGAAGACAGAGGAAGGTGATACCACCCAGGGGGGGCTCAGTGGAATGCTGAATTCTTAGGGACAATAACCGCGCACAACATCCAGCCAAGGAGCATGTTGAGTCCTGTGTTACTGGACTATGAAGAGAAGAGAAGAGATTCCAACTTTATAGGCTTTTACATGGACCAGCCACGAGGGTGTCAAGCAAGGGAGTGACATGATTAGATTTGCCTTTGGCATCTGTGTAGAAAATGAGGAGAGACTAGAAGCAGGGAGTAATCCAGGCAGGAAGTGATGGTCACTGGGACAAAGAGGCTAGTCATTGTAACTACTATTTTTATTGGCTGCATTTTATAACATTTTAAGAAATTTTCATAACTTCTGCTCATTTAAAACCCTCTACTGGGGCGCCTGGCTGGCTCAGTCTGTAGAGAAAGCAAGTCTTGATCTTAGGGTCAGGAGCCACATTGGGCACAGAGCTTACTTAAAAAAAAAAAAAAGCCGCCTCTATAGATGGATGTTAAGGTTGTCTACAAATCTTTTATGTTGAAAAGTATAAATATTATAATAAACACCCTCATGCATATATCCTTTCATACCTATTTGATTATTTCCTTAGAATAACATCCTAAACACACCGTCAAACTGCCAAATTCCTAGTATGTATACCTATTTTACTCCTTTTAGTATATTTCTTAAACTTTACCAATCTTAGGCACTAACACTTAAAAATATATTTTTTAAAATATTTTATTTATTTATTCATGATAGATGTAGAAAGAGAGAGAGAGGGGCAGAGACACAGGCAGAGGGAGAAGCAGGCTCCATGCCAAAGGCAAGTGCTAAACTGCTGAGCCACCCAGGGATCCCCCACTTAAAAATATTTTTGAGGGCACCTGGTCATCTGCCTTTGGCTCAGGTCATGATCCCAGGGATCGAACCCCAAGTTCAGCTCCCTGCTTAGTGGGAAGACTGCTTCTACCTCTCCCTCTGCTGAATTCTTAGGGAGCTTGCGCTTTCTCGCTATCTCTCTGCCAAATAAATAATCTTTAAAATATTTTTTTTATAATGTAATATGCTGAATGAGACATCTGGGTGGCTCAGCGGTTAAGCGTATCTGCCTTTGGCTCAGGGCGTGATCCTGGAGTCCCAGGATCGAGTCCCACATCGGGCTCCTGCATGTTTCTCCCTCTGCCTGTGTCTCTGCTTCTCTTTCTGTGTCTCATGAATAAATAAAATCTTTTTAAAAAATTTAACATGCTGAAAGTGATAGGATCGTTATTTTAATATGCACTGCTTTGATTGTTTACTATACTGAGCAATTGTTTTTCTTTATGAAATGCCCTTTTTGTATTTTTGTCTATTGGTTTTGTTACACTTTTCTTATTGATATATAATAATCTTTGTACAGTACTAAAGTAATGAGCACAGGAAGGCACTGTGCTAACTGCTGTACATCTATTATCTTGTTTTATCTTAACAACTCTATGAAGTAAATACTTGTATAGTCCCTATTTCCAGATGAGAAACCTAGAGCAAAGATGAATTAAGTAACTTGCCCAGCGTCACATAAGTAGTAATGAAGCTAGGATTTGGATGGTGGTCTGCCCATGCCAAAGCCCACTGGTAACTAAGGTAACTAAATTTTGTACATTAATACCTTTGTCATGTCAGGTGTTGCAATAGCTTGGTTTTCCCAGTTACTTTGCCATTTAATTTCATGTCTGTTCTTTCCTAATGTACAAAATTCTAAATTTTTTTAATGAATTCAAAATCCTTATAGGAGAAACCATATATTGGATAAATACCAAAAGAAGGCCATATCGTATACTTGTTAAGAGCATGTTCTGTAGAGTTAGCTTGCCTGTATTCATATCCTGGTTTTTCCACGTAGTAGCTGCTGACCATGGCCAAGCTTCCTCAGCTTCCTTTTCTGAAGCACTTATCTCTTTACCATTGATTTGAAATGATATCTTTTCACATACTTATCATAATTTTCTGCTACATTCTTATATATAAGAAATCCTCAGAAAATTAAAGACAGAAATCTTCATTTTTCACAGTACTGCCAGAACGTAAAAATGACACTGGGAGTTGAAACCAAGCAGAGATCTTAATTGTCAATGGGAAAAATTACCATTGTTCTGTGAAGTTTAAAATTTTTTGTCAAAGCATTAAAAACTTTCTTACTGTCAGTTATAAATGTATAGGGAAATGAAAACATGGTAAAACTAATATTTAGTGCATTGTAATCTAAAGCATTTAGAGAACTTGAGAATTAAATTATTTTCTTTGCAAAAAAACATATCCAGTGTAATTTGAAATGCTTGCCTCTTTTCCCTCAAGATTTATTTATTTATTTGTTGGTTGGTTTGTTTGTTTATAGCTTGAGCAGAGGGAGGGGTAGGGGGAGAGTGAGAATGAATCTCAATTAGACTCCATGCTCAGCACAGAGCCTGACCTGGGGCTCAATGCAGGGCTTGATCACACAACCCTGAGATGATGACCTGAACCAAAATCAAGAGTTGGACATTTAATTGACTGAGTCAACCAAGCATCCCACCTCTTTTTTCTTATAATGTGTAACAAGTATCTTCACTAAGCCTTGATGATTTGTCATACGCCTTTTCGCATTTGGATCAGCTTCCAACATTCTATTATTTGTATGTACGATCTCATGAAATATCTCTAAGCATTCCATGATTGCAAAGTGGTTTTTTGCTGGCATCAGTTCCCCTGGGATATCTTCATTCCTTTTGTCACAACCACTTTCCTCCTTTGTGTAGATGAAGTAGCCTTCACTAAATTCCTCTGGCTGCGTATCTGTACATGATGGCAGGGTTAACATTTCCATGATTAGCTCTTTCTTCTCTAACTCCACTTATGTTCGATTTGAATTTCGTTTCCAGCCCTACCATTTTTCATTCTTTGCTGCACTTTCATTTTGTTGGCCAAATCTGTTATCTTTTTTTTTTCTAATGTCATGTGGGTTTATCACGAGAAGACAAGGAAGCAACACAACTACATTCTTGCTGTCTGTGTATGAACTGAATACACAGTGCACAGTGTAGTAGTTATCAACATACTGAAAGAAATGACATGATTGTTTCACTGCTCATGATGCACATTCAAAAAAGTTGATTCTGACAATTTCTTACAGTATTCTCATTGCTTTTACGGTGGAAAGAATTTTTGGAGGGCCCTTCTCCACCATTTTTACTGATTTCACTAGTTCATTTTGTATTTGCTTATAAATATATTACAGAGAAATTTATAGAGATTTAAGTGATACACAAGTCTCAAATTTCAGTAACCTCCATAAAACTCTAAAACCAATGTGGTGTTCTCCTTCTCCTGTCTTGCCTCCCTGCCTAACTTTTTCTTATTCCCAAAGTACTTAGTACCCTTTAATATGCTGTACAGTTTACTCATTATTTTAATTTATTTATAATGTATGCTGCCTCTGCCTGTTGGGATGAGGGCTGGATCCTTTTTTTGTTCACTAATATACCTTATGTATATATATCCTGGCATGTAATAGTCATTCAGTAAATATCTAGTCAACAAATAAACTGTGGCCCATAAACCATACTTTCCAATTTAAAAACAGGGAAAAT